GGGAAACCACCTTTTGAATCGGAAACGTATCAGGAAACCTACAGAGCTATCTCCAGGGTATGTGCCATACTTATTTGGACTGAGGCAGATGACTTGTGCTGTCTTTCAGTTCTCTTGTCTTACTTAAGTGTAACAAATGGTCATTTTGAAGAAGGGCATGTATTTCAACTAGAACTGTAGAAAGACAATGATACACATAAAACTAAATCACTAAAACAGTCTTCACTTATTCAGTAGAATGAGACCTTAAAGATACCTTGCCTTGTGTACTTGGTTCTACCCTGTTCTGCCTGCATCTAAACTTCTACCTCTTTATGAAGCAACTAATCTTCTCCACCTCTTTTTTCCTTTTCTAATTTATAAAATGAATATTTAACACTCAACCTGTCACTAAAAATAAGTAAGCTCAACCTTTCCTGTTGCATACCCTAGAAAGGTTCCAGCAAACTAAGATTAGTACATTGAACAGATACACTAGTTTCACTTCTGAGAACCCTGTTTTCTTCAGGATTATGATATTACTTAATCTCATCTCAATAGGCATAAGGTGCATAGCCTGAGGCTGACTCGGCCTTTCTAGATGTACATCAGAGGGTAGAACCCTTTGTCTCTCTAGTTTGGTTATTGTCCAAAAACTTTTGCATCATCTTTAGTGTCCTTTTTCCTTAGGTGGAATTCAAGTTTCCTCCATTTGTAACAGAAGGTGCAAGGGATTTAATTTCAAAGCTTCTGAAGCATAGCCCGTTCTATCGACTGCCCCTGAAAGATGTACTACTTCATCCCTGGATTACAGCAAACTCTACAAAGGTGCCCAGTAGCAGAAAAAGTGATGCTGCTGCCCCATCCAGAACACAGTCTTAGCAGGGGTAACCTCATGGGATCAATGGGAGTCTTGTACTGTGACTACTGTAATGCCTACAATACAAAAAGCAGGTCTTAGAATCTAATGGCAATTGGAATGCAAGTCTTTGAGTTGGCCATCTTATTAAACTCTGATCTCAGTGTAAAGTTATTTGACTTCTAGCTGGAGGTTGTGGAATACTTAATAATATACTTGAAATCTTGTCATGTGTGGGCCAGGTTTGTTGATGTAAGTATTAAGCTGTTCAAGGCTCTCATGATGTGGTCTATCCTGGTAAAGGTTCATTGGTCCAACAATAATAGGAAGTTGTTTTAGCTTATTGAACAGTGCAATATCCTACCTGCCTCTGAATTTACTGGGCTGCTAAGAGTATAACTGTGGTTTAATCTGAAACTGAACGAGGTGAATGCATTTCTCTAAGTGTCCTAAAAATGATGTGTGCATTATTTTTGTCTCTTTTATTTTTTTTTTTTTTTTTTTTTTTGTCTTAAATGTGAGCACTCAAACTTTTAAATAAAGACTCGTTGTATACTGTTACCAGCATGGTAAGGCTCCTGATGGCATTATCACTTCCACTGGCTGTGTCTAACCACTTGTCTTTACCATCAGGACAGCTTGAATCTTTGACTATGATCACAAAGTAAGTTTACTTCCCATCTCTGTCAAAAATGAAGCTGGTATAAAGTTCTTGCTCAAAGTGCAGGTACTAAAAGTAGGTATGGTCACTCCCTATTCTCCAATTACCACACAGGATTACAAGGTAAGTACCAAACATGTTGCCACTTACCTTTTGTGGCTTTTCTACAACATTTTTTTTTTTTTTTTTTTTTTCTGAAAGCACTTCTGGGAGAAAGGTCTGGAAAGTACTGTCTTCAAATGGGATACGTGTAATAGGAACTAATAGTAACATCTGGTGTTGTAAGATGTTATTCCCTAAAATGTAGCAAGGGTCAGGCCACCAAAGCATACTAATCAAGTATTTTCCAATAAAACACTCCAGGTAAATGAAGAGAAAGCAAGTTACTGTATTTTCATTATAAGGCTTTAAGGTCATCTTCACTATTTTACAAATCTTTTTACAGCAAGGATTCTAGAATTCAAAATACGCTCTCAAACTATTTTAGTACTTTGTAAAAAAAAAAAAAAACAAAAAAAAAAACAAAGCCCAAAAAACTTCATCTAAAATAGGCAGTAGTTTATATAACCATGTTTATCTGAATAGGTCGTCTGAATCCTAGTCATAATTTAAATGAAGCTGTTTCTTTACTGCAAGAAAGTCTTGAGTTAGAAGTACCAGCACTAATACCTTTTAGCTGTGCTTGCTTTAAATGATTCCTGCTTTACAGAGAGACTTTAGAAAAAGCAAAAGCTTGCATATTCCTTGTCTATCAACTTCAGGACAAAACATACTAATTGGAAGTGATTGAATAAATTAAACAAGGCTGCCACATGTTTATTCTGGAATTTTTCTGTTATCCTTGTTAACAGAACATCACCCTGAACTGATACAAACAGAGACATCATGCAGAAAAGAAACAAAGCACAAAGGCTTCTGTGACCAGAAGAGGGGGGGGCAAAAAGCCAAAGTAAAACTTACTCTTAACAAACAATGACTGCCCACTTGAAAGTTAAAGAGACACTACCTGTTCTACAATGTAGGAAATCATAGAAAGTTACAGTAGTGTTGATTGCACATTGTCATACCATGGTAACCCTTTAACTGTGGTGTAGATAGTGCAGTGTTTGATAGGTAAGAACTGCATTAATTAAGCTTCCATCCACATAACAGGTATAATCACACAGGTTAGTCAGGGGTAAAGGCAGAGCTTCCTTATGCTCTATAGCTGGCACGCTGAAGCTAGTGCCCTGGCCAAGCTGCTGGCTTCAGCAGCCATACTGTGAACAAGCATGCAACACAAACAAGTCAGCTGAATTTCATTTCTTTAGGGGGAATAAGCAGCTAGTTCAAGTTAATATGACAGCCATTCCTCCACAGATGGGTATTTGAAGCACCAGAGCATTGGCTCCATATTCTAGCAAGCAAGTCAAGCAGCTGTGCATGACCTAAGTTCTCTTAGGTGATACAGCTTACAGGTCCCACAGGCCACACTGCAAGGCTAATCCTCAGTATGCCCTGCTCCTGTGGCTGTTAAAAACTGTGTGAAATATCTTTACACGTGCCATGGATGGCTATGTCTGCATTATACATTAACCCTCCAGCATGTGTATCTGCTCACTGCAGGAACTGTTTGCACCCTAAGACACTAACTCCTCAACTGGGCTAACAGCACAGCCCCACAGACCAAGGGATTCCTTGTTTTGAGGGGGCAGTCTCTAGTATCAGCTTGCTTCCACAGCGCAAAGGAAGTAAACTAACTCTTCTACAGTTTTCCCTTTCTCTCAGTTCACTACATTTCAGGGAAATTTCCTGCTATTTTACTTTAATCAGATTCTTAAATGAACCGATTGTGTCAGAGCCACCTTGGGGTAAGTATAAACACAGAGGCCAATGTAAAAGAGCAGACCTAGAAAGAGGAACAGATCCTAAAGTCTGACAGATTTGGCTCAAGCTACCTCACAGCAACACAGTCCTAAGTCTGAAACCCAAGTTTACCACAATGTGTACGTTGTGGTAAAACTGGATCCAGTCTTTAGGATAACTGGAAAGTGGTATGTGAATATATGCACATGGAGCTGCATTCTAATAGGAATAGTGCCCAAATAGGAAGACTGAAAAGCACCTCTAGTTGGTACATTCAACAGTCTGTCAGATAAAAGCACAGGAATGGCTCTTGAGAACCTATGAATTACAGTGTCTGGACTTCAGGTGCAGATTTGAGTTTCATCCACAGAAGCAGAAAGCTGCTAGGATAAATTTCCAGATTAAAAAATGTGCCTAGTACAAAGCCAGATCTCAATGCATTAAACGCCCAAAGCTACCTTGCCTCTGACTTGATAGTCTTTGGAGTATGTTCCCACAGGAGGTAATTCTGGTTACACTGATTTCAGCAGACTCAGGATTCCTTGAGACTATAGGCATTAAAAAAAAAAAAAACCAAAAAAACAACACAAAAAGGACTTTAGTAAGGCCAGCTCCTAGCCTATAAATAAACCCATTTTCAAATAAATTCTTGAAACATGGAAGCACCTCAAAGGAGCTGTAGTTTCAGAACAGTGCACTGCCTGTTCCGGCTAAAACAATTATCACTGTGCAATTATTAAGTAGGCAGGGTACTCCTGCCTAAGTTAACTCAGCATGTGTCTTGTGCTGCAAGACTGTGGTCATGATGTAGGCCTTTTACAACAAAAGAAACACCCACCTACCACTTTAGATTCCAGTATATACCCTTACCAAAGGAACTATTCATATAGCAGGTTACTGTTAATCCCACAGCCTATTAGCAAGGGAATACTCTGTTTCCCATATACACAGACACAAACCAATGCTGACACTCTATTTTGACAAGGAAAAAAATTAAGGCCCCAAAAGCTAGATTATAAAGTCCTAGAACTGTGTGTTCTAAAGACATTGCTCATCGTCAAGAATTTATATTACCACTTGCAGTGAAAACTATTTTAACAGGCTTTTCTAAAGAAGAGGTGGCAAAATGGACAGCACTTTTCACAGTGTACCATTCACCTGAAAAAACACGTAAGAAATGCAAGAGGAGGTCAGCATTTACATGGATCCAATCAAGTCTTTTAAAGAAATTTAACAATCTGAAAAGCTATGTGGATATAGAGCATTAAAAAAAAAAAAAAAAAAAAAGTAAAAATTGCTAAGAAATCCTCATGGATTTGGGGTAGGAGGTTTGAAGAAGCCAATCTTCCGGCAGTACTGGACAATAAACGGCACAGAAACTATGGTAATGCTGATTCTTACTGGAGCGAACAACTTGTGAATGGCATATGCCAGCACAAAGGTGCTTGTGCCAGCTGCCATTTTAGATTGCAACGATGAGTCACTGAAACCAAGTTTGAAGAGAACTGCAGTCATATCCACTCCACTGGGGAAAAAGAATACAAGATCTCTTTAGTTTATTTTAAGGTTGCGTGCTAAAAGAATATAAAATGCTATGTTTTCTTTTCCAGGGAATTTTACATGGCACCCAACTGGAATTTATTATAAATTTATTTATAAATTAGATATCGTTAAATCAGAAACTCAATGAATTAGTTTTTAACAGCTTTAAGTTACTTCCGTAGCAACAACACATGCAATATTATCAAATGCACTTTTTTCCCCTTAAATATAAGGACAAGTTACTGTGCAGTCAAATATACTCTTAGTTTTACAGCTGTATAGCTGCAGCATATGCATGGAGAATACCCAGCCCCATGTTCAACCTTCAGAGAAAAAAGAATCTGCTTCTCTACTTCTGAATTTTAAAAAAGTTAGAAATTTGTGAACTGGTGTTAGAAATTCATCTTCCTAAGATTTACAGTAAAGCCTCTTTGTGTCTTGATTGACCCAAACCAAATAAAGTACCTGTTGCTAGGCTTAGGGTGCTCTAACAAAGGAGCAAAACCTGAGAAAATTACAATTATCTAAAAATCAAGCAAGTGAAGGAAGTATTATGGATCTCAAATCAGTGTTATCCACCAAATCCATTAATATTTTAATTCTCTGCAGACGTAACAGCTTTCATCAAAGTTCCTACATTTGGAGTAATTTTCCAAAGTAAGCTGTTAAATCATACCTGAAGGATATAAAAGAACTCATTGTCACCCTGTGTGTGCCACAATGTACTACATGAGAGAAATCAGCATTCACATGCCCCCACTAAAGGCAAGAGTACGCAGCAGGGAATACTTTGAGAAATAGTGTGTTTCCCTATCTCCTCAGCTGGAATACCTCATGCTCAACAGATGTATTTATAACTGAGGCATTCCCACCAGGAGCCACAGACACAATTTCCCACCTGACTCCTATATGGTTATCCAGTATTTTCTTTTTTAATCTAATCCTGTTTTAGTGGCTGTTACCTTCTGCAGTTCAACTGCAAAAACAGAAGTCAACACCCAGAAAAACAAATTTATCTCTAAGCACCAGCACTTCTGTATGGCTCTATCTCTACAGACCATGCTACTGCATGAGAACAAAAGATATCTCTGCAGAACAAAAATGAATTCTTTCATCTGTTCAGTTACTCCGGTGCAGTCTCCACTCTGCTGTTTTCACCTGCCCACCATGGATCTTGGACCTATGCAAAAAGATCACGTACATCTAACTTCTCTCATGCCTGATGGGAGATTAGATCCATTTACAGATCCATCTAAACTCAAAATACAGAAGATTACTGTGTATAAATCAAATGGGCACAGAGTAAATGTCCCCTTGCAGAAATAAGCACAATGGTAAGATATTTTTCGTGGCTAAACTGTTACCTAGTGGCTACAGACAACTGTAAAAACCTCACCTTGACACAGCCAGGTAGAAGATACCTAGAGATACTAATGAAATTCCAACATGGAATGAAACCCCTACAGCACCGTATTCTTTAAACACTCGTTTCAGCTGCTGGGATTTGTTGAGTTTCTTATTTTCACCACTGGGATCTGTGGCTGCCTTTTCAGAGGATCCACTTGCATCCTAATAAGAAAACGAAAGTATTTATTAGCATTCAGCACAATATCATATTCCAGTCAGTTGAGCCAATCTGAATTAAAGAAAGAAGTGGCTTGCATACAGCACTGCTCAGAATGCTTTGGGAAGGTAGTAACACATTTTTGCTCTTTCACATCAGTATAGCAGTCACTTGAGAGACGAGACTAAAGTGCCAAAGAGACCTTAGTTTACACCCACTGCTCAGCTTTATACAGCCAATTCTTGAAACACAGCTTTTCGTTCAAGAGCTGAGCTGCTCATGGCACTGGAAGCCAACACGATACCAAATGATGCTGGCTTACTAACAACTTCCTGACAAAGGTCCAACATGTAAGTTCCTATAAATATCACTCTGTAGATGAGCTGAAAAAAGGAAGAACTAAGGAACTGCTGCTGTTGACAGCCATGAGCAATACTGTTGCCACAGTGTAGACAATAGCTACACAGACATGCCAGTGCTGGTGTAAATAGCCTAACTTCACTGAAAACATTTGTAATAGTAAAATTTATTGACAGCTTTTTGTCTGGGTAAATTTAAAGTGCAGAACTTCATACTAAAATACACCCCAAAGCAATCTGACAGTGTGATGCAGGCAAAGAAGAGCTAGTAAATAAGACAGCCCTTGGATAACCTCGTCATACTTGCCACAGAAGAAATACAAACTGGAGAAAGAAAACGTTTCCACAAAGACCTCAGGATTTTTCTCTAATTAGTGAGCAGCTGTCAGGAAAGATTAGAAGCGTCCTTTCTTTCCAGCCGAACTCAGCAGCAGTGATAACAACCTGCCAAACACACTAAAGGCCACTGCTGCCCACAGGACAGCTACAGCTACTGAGTGCCTGGCAGCACCTTGTCCTGCTGGAGGTTGCTTTCAAGGCACACAAATTAGAAGAAAAATACTTTTGATTAATTCTTGCACTCGGTGAGACTGCAAATTAGGATGCACAAGACAGGCTCCTCCTACAGCATTCAGGGTAGGATGAACTGGCTTTAACCTGTGATTTCAAACATACCAACCACACCGCTCCCAAAAAAACCCCTACGTTTGCTGCTGCTTTCTCTTTTTCTCTAAACATGTATTTAGGGAATTGTGTACTTCAACTTATTCTGGTTCTTGTATCTTTAAAAATTTTAACCATAATGGATAATGTTAGTTTTTTTTGGGTTTTTGGCTCATGAGCTGAACGGAAAAAAAGCCCAGCCTCACAGTACCTTCTGCCAAAGCTGTCCTAACAATTCAAACAACAGCATGTGCTTAGCCAAGAATGCTCATTTATTCAACAGTGTGATTTTCTTAAAAGCTAAGCATGGTTTGAATGGTAGTTTAAGACAGTTTACAGTGAATTTTTCATCCAAAGGTGATTATTATTAATTTAAGGAGCCAAACATGAGGATTTTCTTCACAGAGCTGCCATGAAAACAGGAGCTGACAAATCTACAGAGATAGATAAGCCTCAGGGGAACTCTGTCTCACAGCCACAATTGCAAGATGGATCATAAGGACTGAAGAATAGCTTGTTCTCATCATGCAATTCCCTCATGCTTTCAGGCTCACAAGCCAGGCAATTGCTGCATGATATTGAAGCTAGGTGTTAAAAAAGTGTCAGTTTGACAGATGTTATTTTGTTATCAGGTACAGTTATGTCCTCAACAACGTACGACTTAGCAAAGAAAGCTACCCATTTTCCATACAAATCTGCTACAACATTTCTGCTAGAAAGCCAATTCTATTCACATCATTTAGGCAAAAATTCAGCTTCTGGACAAACTAAGGCATGAAAATAAGATTTGAAACATCATGTTATGCTTTGTAATGAGGCTACTGAAATTAACCTGAAAATTAAGCTGTGGAAATTAAACTGTACATGAGGCTTTGTATTGAAAGCTTACATTCACATGCAGGTGCCAAGCAGGTCCCTATATCGTACTGAAATACAGTATGAACATAATTTAATAACCTACTGAACTGGAAAAAAGATCTGTATGTAATTTTTCATACTGAGCAAATTCAAATTAATCCCCCCCCAACGAATAATTAATGCAATGAAAGCAGCCTTCCAATACCTGAAGGGGGCTTACAGAGATACCAGTGAGGGACTCTTCGTCAGTGACTGCAGTGATAGGATAAGGGGCAATGGGCTTAAACAGAAGTTCAGGTTAGATATAAGGAAGAAGTTCTTTACTGTGAGCGTGCTGAGGCACTGGAACAGGCTGCCCACAGAAGTGGTAATTGCTCCATCCCTGGCAGTGTTCAAGGCCAGGCTGGACAGAGCCTTGGGCAACAGCCTAGTGTGACCAATGGCAGGGGGTTGGAACTGGATGTTCTTAAAGTCTGTTCTAACCCTAACAATTTTGTGATTCTGTAATGGTAGAAATTATTATTATTTTTCCTTTCCCACCTCCAAAAAAATCAACTGGATGGTGAAAGCACAGTGAAACACACCATTAACGGGGTGCACGCTC